GAAGAGCCTCAGATGTCCCCGTGCATCTCTATCACAACAGTCGCAATGTCCACTATCAATATATATTATTTATTAGGATTATATAAATTCTTCTCTTTTTCTTCGAAACTCAAATTTATATTATAAATTACATTAATAGTTTTTTAGGCATTTTTGTTTACACATTTAAGATAAATTTCTATAATTAATGAACTAAAGATGAAAAAGATTTTTGGAAAAGCTTGAAGTGGTGAACCTTCACTGTGAATTCACCAATTCATCAATACACTAGATTTAAGCTACAACTATTGTATGTTTATTCTGTTCAAATACAGATACTGTACTTGAAGGTTTATTCTTGGTGATAATGCTTAACGAAACTATGGAAAGAGAGGTTTTTTGTAATTGTAGTAATTTTACTAATTAATTGCTTAGGGCGCGCGCGCGCATACACAGATATCATTTTCAGCGGATCAGACAAAAGAATATAAAGGCCTATTTACTAATATTACATTTTTGTTATAATTTACGAAAACGCACGTTTTATATCTACCTAACACAAGTAAACGCGGTACAAGGCCATGATAATCATGATGGGTAGTTTGCGACTTATTTTTGTATTATAAGTGCATTTCATACCATCCTATGTATAGGAAGAATTTAGAGTTTTTCACTTACAAGCTGCTAGAGTTCAATTTGGTTACTTTCACTCGCTAGTGGAGTTGATCTTGTACAAGTATTGGGGGCTATTGAAGAAAACAAAAGGCTTAATCTGGGATTCGATCCCGAGACCCGGTTGTCGATTATTAACAGTGTGTAGCACTCCTTCATCAAGCTCCTAAAGTATAAAAACTCAAGTAAATAAGATAAAAAGGTCTAAGAGATGTTAAAGACAACAGAGAGTTCTCCCAATTCCAATATCCCCAAGTCAGCAATACCAACAAACAATCAAATTACCACATGTCACACATATTGGAGTGCCTAACACAATTACACTGGCTGGCCCTTTCTATCTCTTTATCACATCTCCGGTAATATGAGAACTAGAAACAACACCTTATTCATGATTCAAGGTAAAATTGTGAAGTGTTTATCTGTGTTTGTGTGTATGTATTAGCTCTAGAATTACCACATGTCACACATATTGGAGTACCTAACACAATTACACTGGCTGGCCCTTTCTATCTATCTATCTCATTATCACATCTCCTGAAATATGAGAACTAGAAACAACACCTTATTCATGATTCAAGGTAAAATTGTGAAGTGTTATGTGTGAATGTATTAGCTCTAGAATTACCACATGTCACACATATTGGAAGGCCTAACACAATTACACTGGCTGGCCCTTTCTATCTCTTTATCACATCTCCGGTAATATGACAACTAGAAACAACACCTTATTCATGATTCAAGGTAAAATTGTGAAGTGTTATGTGTGAATGTATTAGCTCTAGAATTACCACATGTCACACATATTGGAAGGCCTAACACAATTACACTGGCTGGCCCTTTCTATCTCTTTATCACATCTCCGGTAATATGACAACTAGAAACAACACCTTATTCATGATTCAAGGTAAAATTGTGAAGTGTTATGTGTGAATGTATTAGCTCTAGAATTACCACATGTCACACATATTGGAAGGCCTAACACAATTACGCTGGCTGGCCCTTTCTATCTCTTTATCACATCTCCGGTAATATGAGAACTAGAAACAACACCTTATTCATGATTCAAGGTAAAATTGTGAAGTGTTATGTGTGTTTATGTGAATCTATTAGCTCTAGAATTACCACATGTACACATATTGGAGTGTCTAACACAATTACACTGGCTGGTCCCTTTCTATCTCTTTATCACATCTCCGGTAATATGAGAACTAGAAACAACACCTTATTCATGATTCAAGGTAAAATTGTGAAGTGTTATGTGTGTTTATGTGAATGTATTAGCTCTAGAATTACCACATGTCTCACATATTGGAGTGTCTAACACAATTACACTGGCTGGCCCTTTCTATCCCTCTATCTCTTTATCACATCTCCGGTAATATGAGAACTAGAAACAACACCTTATTCATGATTCAAGGTAAAATTATAAAGTGTTATATGTGTTTGTTTGTATGTATTAGCTCTAGAATTACCACATGTCTCACATATTGGAGTGCCTAACACAATTACACTGGCTGGCCCTTTCTATCTCTCTATCTCTTCATCACATCTCCTGAAATATGAGAACTAGAAACAACACCTTATTCATGATTCAAGGTAAAATTATAAAGTGTTATATGTGTTTGTGTGTATGTATTAGCTCTAGAATTACCACATGTCTCACATATTGGAGTGCCTAACACAATTACACTGGCTGGCCCTTTCTATCTCTTTATCACATCTCCTGAAATATGAGAACTAGAAACAACACCTTATTCATGATTCAAGGTAAAATTGTGAAGTGTTATGTGTGTTTGTGTGTAATTATTAGCTCTAGAATTACCACATGTCACACATATTGGAGTGCCTAACACAATTACACTGGCTGGCCCTTTCTATCTCTCTATCACATCTCCGGTAATATGAGAACTAGAAACAACACCTTATTGATTATTCAAGGTAGAATTGTGAAGTGTTATGTGTGTGTTATGTGTATATATGTATTATCTCTAGAATTACCACATGTCACACATATTGGAAGGCCTAACACAATTACACTGGCTGGCCCTTTCTATCTCTCTATCACATCTCCGGTAATATGAGAACTAGAAACAACACCTTATTCATGATTCAAGGTAAAATTGTGAAGTGTTATGTGTGTTTGTGTGTATGTATCAGCTCTAGAATTACCACAGTTATCAAATTAAATGTGTACTATCTAAGGAACCATAATTGATTTAATGAGACATTTGAGGTTTCGCCTTGCTAGGGCGTGTACCGTGTGTGTTTGTGTGTATGCGTGTTGTGTGTGAAAGGTGTTTAAAAACTACTATTTCTCTCTGTTTCGTTTATATATTAAATACCAAGCTTTCAATTAATAATTGCTCTTCAACACGCTTAATTAAAAACATAGATGATTTCTTATAAGTAGTATTTACAGATATACGCGCGCAGCATGAATATTTAGAACTGAAATTTTAAACTAAAAATTCAAATTTCGCCATCATATCTTATAAGAAAGCTATACACTAATTTTATTAATTATAGTTACCCTAAAAATGTAAATAGCTATCATATTTTGAAATAATCTTTAAAATTAAATATTTATTATTTATTATAATGCACTAGCGCGCCATCTGTTATGAAAATTCGAAGCTATTATAGGCGCGTATGATTCTTTTTATAATTGAACAATTTCTACTACCCTTTATCCAATGGAAAAATTAAAAAAGGAATATCGAAAAATGCAATATAACAGCGGTATGGTAGATTAAACTGGCGAAACCGCTGGGAGGGTTCAGCACTGATGAGCCAGGACCTCCCATTAATTTTTCCATTGCACTAAGGGCAGTAGAAATTGTTTTAAAAGAATCATATCAGAATCAATATCAGAATCAATTTATTTTAAAAGAATCATACGCGTCTAAAATAGTTTTGAATTTATTTTTTTGTTTAAATTTCAGTTGTAAATGTTCACGCTGTGGGGGACGTATATTTATTAACACTTCTCTTAAGAAATAATCTATGTTTTTAATTAAGCCTGTTGAAGAGATATTATCACTTGAAAGCTAGGATTTTAAAATATATATTTGTAAAACAAAAAATAAAAAAGTATATATGTTATAAAAAAAAGAGATTTCTGTTGATTTGATTATCTTGAGGATTATGCTATGGTAATGCAGTCGTGGTTAAAATCTTGAAAGTATAATAATAAAAATAATGAAGATTAGAAATAGCTTTAATTGAGCCTAAGGAATATATTAAAAACATTATTTAATGAAAGTAATGCCTGGCTTAAGGCGTAAGAATAAAAAAAGGAAAAACTTATTTACATAATGTACAAAAGGTTTGAGCCGGCCATCGGGAAACAACAACTACGAGTTTTTATAGGGGAAGAGGTCTCTGGCGGTCGATTTAACAGATCTATGAAATATAATTTTGAATAGAATAATATTTTAATATAACATATATTTAAGAAAATTACATTTTAAAATAATCTTCAATATGCATTCATGAAATATTTTAAATGTATTTTTCCATAAAATAGTCTAATAAAAGAGAGAGGTTATCTGTTTTCGTTAAAATTCATTTAAATATACATTTGTTAACGTAAATATTCAAATCTATAAGTTCGATTTATACACTATTAAACATTTACAATATTCAGTGAAAATATGTCTACCCCCCATTCCATTTAAAACAAAATAAATATTTATAAATCTCTCTAAATATTTTCTATAAAAAAGTAATTTAAATGTTATTTTTTTTTCAAATTTCTAATGAATTATTTCCTTCAGTGATTATAAAATAAACGATATTCTGTGATTAAAAAAAAAAAAGAAAGGTCAACTGGCAACCCTGACTATCACCAGTATTTACTTAGCAGATATCAGAAGACAATACGGGTCTATTCGTCTGATTCTATTTACATGCTGGCGTTATATCATGGGCCACTAATTTATACCAGTTCGTCTGATTACTAACGGTTATAAACTAGGGTTAGGTAAAAATATTTCTTTTTGACTAGTTTGTGTGTCTGAGACTCTAGATGAATATTTGGTTGGTTTTACTTATGTGTATATTTGTAATATTTTACATATTTCCTTATCCTTTTGAAAATAGAGCAATCCATAAATAAATCTTTAAATAAAAAGATATATATTGGATCAAAATATCATTTATTTTATAATATAATATAATGCGGCTTGTGATTGTAAAACGAAATTTGAAAATTATCCCGCATTTGTTTCTTTTGAACGAAAAATCTAAAATTTATTTAAAGGAGAAATAACGAACATTTCTAACCTTAGTGATGAGGTATGAAAGGGTGAATTGTGAAGAGTAATAATAAACGGAAAAATAAAAGTGTCCAGGGATGGGAAACGAACCTACGGTGTTCCGCTTACCGGGAAGATGCCATGGCCACTAGGCTACCCTGGACATTTATTTTACCATTATTTGATCCAATATATGACTTTTTATTTGAATATTTCCTTATTTTTTAATGTTTTTTAAGTAGGGCGATATCTAAAATGTCTCAAATTTTGAATATCTCTTTCCATCTTAAAATGATTCCTTAAGTTTCTATCTAGCTAACTTATTGAATTGTTTCTAAACAGAATTTCTCGATGAAGTAATTTCTACCTAATTTTCAACTATCTTCAAAGCTTATATCCACAGTTTGATTAAAAACCTCAACCAGAAGGCATACATACAAAAAAAAACTTGTATTAGGGATCAAGCCCCATACAGGATTCTCACAGTATAACAATGGGTTTAATTGAACATACAAGTACATTTAAAAATAAGGCTTATTTTAGATTGTAATAAGATTATTTAGGATCATACATGACGTAGCCACGCAATAATATTTGAAATGAAGGCGATAAAAACGTGGTGAGTTTCTTTTAATGGTAAAAACACAAGCTTTCAGGCAAGAATGCCCTTCCTCAGGTTACAACGCCTGAAAGCTTGTGTTTTTACCATTAAAAGAAACTCACCACGTTTTTATCGCCTTCGTTTCAAATAAGATTATTTATTAATCCGATATCCGAAGACGTCTGGTGGCTCACCTGGGGCACGCGACCTGCTATGTGCTTCACGGCAAAATACCTCGTAAAAGATGGACGATTGGTCCATCGAAATATCGGATTAATGCTGCTTTTCAATAAATAAATATGTTTCGTTCATATATGCCTATATATTAACAATATTTCCAAATTTCAAGTAGGTGTATCTCAGAAATATTGCGTAATAGAAAAAAACTAATGGTATATTTGGATTCAGGACATGTAGATAAGATGCTATTTCTTTGTGGACAAAGAAAAATATTTTTTGATAAACCAGTGTAATGTAATAAGGGTTATGCAAAACTGCTTACGTAACATTGTTTGTATTTTTTACTTTATTTATCCCAATACTAAAAAAAAGACCGTCACGCAAAAACCATAGGTGATGGGAAATTTCTGATAAGATTTTTGAGTTCAGAATGAAAAGTTACACTAGAAACATAATCAGGTTCTCTTGTGCAAAAAATCTTGTTGACCAGTGTAATCTTATTACAATCCAAAATAAGACTTATTTTTAAAATATACATATATTATGGATTGCTCTATATTCAGAATACAAGTACCTGTAAATCAACAGTATTAACATGAGCCCAAAAAAAAGGAAACCTATTTACACATGTTTCTCATCCCATGTGAACGATAGTGTGACAAGTTAAAAATATTATTTATTGACATTTAACTTCTTCCCCATTACAAAGGAGGTGTAGCAATCACGAGTGGTGTCCAGAGAGCCGTGAAGACACCGATATAAGGAGAATTGGTCTTATGTCAGAGCTGAGAACAGGTTTACAACTTTTTTACGTTCGAACTGGAGAGTGGATGGAACCCCTGGGTTTGGCGATAGGTCCGGGGAGTAGGGTGGACAGATCTGTGGAGCCATTCTCTCTCTATATAGGTAATATATCTCTGACATATATAAATATATTCTCTAAAAACTGCATTTATTGTAGAAATGTCACACATATGTACTACTGTAGATGGTAAAATATAATTGAACGAGCATGTGAATGGTCTACAATGGAGATGATAAAGAAGAAGAAGAGCATGATTGAGCATCTTGTCCAAAAATCATATATATTAAGAAAAAGGCATCTCCTTATCGTGTCACTGAAAGTTGCTGATGGCTTGCGCCATCTATCGGAATAAATATCAACTATTCTCGATAGATAACTTATTCCGATAGATGGCGCAAGCCATCAGCAACTTTCAGTTACACGATAAGGAGATGCCTTTTTCTTAATGTATGCACCTTATCCCAGTACAATATACATTTGTACTATTTTTTCAAATCATATATATGTGGTATATTTTAAGGTAGATAGAGCACAATCTTCTTCTAATGTTTATTATAACCCCATATCTGTATATAAAAATATGTATCGACCTTGTATAATAATAGAAATGACAAATAAAACAAAAGGAGTAGAGGTAGTCCAGACGACAAAGACCAGACGAACACGTGTTTATGATAATGAGTTCATTCCCCCCCGTCAGCAGGTGGCCGACACGTGGCCAGACATAATTAATAACCCAGCGCTTGACAGGTGGCGTGATTACGGGAACCAATCAGAACTCGTCAACAAGTGCTAGAGTCGAGTATATAAGCCCCCCAAGATTGGGACAAAGGAGAGTGTTTTAGTTGTTTCAGAGCGACGCTGTCATACGGTCGGTCAGATCTCTCACCCCCCTTCTACCCGCGTAGGCTAGGGCATCCGTGACGTCCATGGTCCGACTACCTTCGTCCGTGGTCTACCTCTACTTCTTGGAGTTTACCATCTAGACCTGCCTCTGTCTCTTGCTGTCCCAGTGCGGGAATCCCATCACTCACCCACTACCACGACTGCCCAGCACATTCCACCTCGGGATTACTACATATATGTTATATGAAAACATTATTTTATTTTAAATTATAATTTCATAGATTCAAATACTCTGCTAAATCGACCGCCAGAGGTCACTTTCCCCTATAAAAACTCATTGTTGTTGTTTTATCCCAATGGCCGGCTCAAATCTTTGTACATTATGTAAATAATCTTTTGTTTTCCTTGTTCTAATCGCCTTAAGCCAGGCAGTACTTTTATCAAATTATGTTTTTTAATATATATTCCTTAGCTCAAATAAAGAAATCTCTGATAGAAACTATTATTTATTATCATACTTTCAAGATTTAACCACGACTGCATTGCCATAGCGTGATCCTCAACATGATCAGAAATTCAAGCAGAAAATATCTTTTCTTTATATATACAACAACAACAAAAGCCTTTATTGAGTACCTCTCGTCCAATATAGGATTCGCCAGTTTACAGAGTAAGAGAAGAGAACTAAGAATACAGAGAGAAACCTATAAGTAGTAGATATAGTATAGTATTTTCTACACTGTGACTATATACAACAGCAGCAGCAAGCCTTTTACTGGAATCAAAGTCCCATACAGGATTCGTCATTCTAATCCTGACAAAGATTATTTACATATAATTATTTACATCAATTAGATTATGTATATAGCTTCCTCTTATCTTCAGCCGTCTTCCAAAATTTGAACAACGCTAACGCCCCAACTCTGTTTCTCACAACCTCAATCAACAGGAGCTCCAAAGAGAGTCCCTCTAGGCCTATTACATTCTTTATATATATTAATATATATGTACCAAAAGAGGCACCTCTCCCTTTAAATGTGCATCAGATTTAAAGGGAGAGGTGTCTTTTTTTGATACATAAATATCATCCTCCCGTAACTTTATAATGTAATCTTGCCTGAAAACCGGTCCTTGCTATTTCATCAGCTTAAACACCTGTTTACTAAATTCGAACGATTCCATAAACCCTCCCTCGTAGGATGTTATGAAATTGAAGACGCTCCTGTAATGATGAGAGCCATAGCCTGAAACCATGGTATACAGGTTGTTGGCTTTTTGTATAAATTTTCCTAAACTGGTTTTGTAACTCATTCCATATCATCATTAGTAAAGTTCTTTTTACTAGGGTGATGCAAATTTCTATCGTTCTGATGTACAATTTAAAGGGAGAGGTGTTTCTTTTGGTACATGAATATTATCCCCCCCGCAAAGGCGAAAGCGCCCTCTATTGGCGGGATGTGGGTGTTTTGAAGGCTCATATACGCGACAATATATATATAACTAGCCGAATGACCCGGGCAACGCCCAGGTTTTACCCGATTAAATGCTTTTATTCAAATACTATTCGTTACAATTATAAATTGGCGCCGTGGATGTCATTCTTGTATAACATATAAATGAGTTTTAAAAATTGTAAAAAAAAAAAAAAATGCATCGGCCGGGTATCGAACCCGGGCCGCCCGCGTGGCAGGCGAGCATTCTACCACTGAACCACCGATGGTTATGAGAAATGGCCATATTTGGGTATTTATTCCATTCACAAAGCAAACGGTGACAGAATTGATTAAGAAAGAATTTATTATAACGCCGATAACTGTATATATAATATTCATTAAAAACACAACGTAACAATAAAAAAAATAAGAAAAACTATATTTTAAAATGTTTTTTTTTTATGAATTTAAATAAATAAAATTTATTAAGGTAATGAGAGAGAGAGAGAAATAAATGTTACAGAGTTATTAGATTTAAAAAAAGGTTATTCTACTTATAAAAGAAAATAAGACATAGAAGTCGTGTAATGAAAATAACATCAACATATTTCTTGTCAGACGATCATTTGTTCTTTCAAAATGGCGTCTGCAGGTTATAATCATCTTGTGGTCACGTCCCCGGGGCCATTTGTGAAAATTTCAAGTTAAGAGATATTAGTGAAGGACATTTGAGAACAGCGAATAGCACTTCTTCTGATACTTATTCCTACGTCTTCTAACTAGGATATATTCGTCTGTAATAAAGATGGTACTGTACACATTACGACGAAAATAAACATTTACCTTGTACAGTAAAACCTCCAATTAGTGTCCTATCTAAGCCGCATCCATCTTCCTGGAGCGACCACCTTTTTATAAACCTTTTCACTCTCTCTCTTTGTCTGAAAAATGGATTATATTAATCTAATCTAACACACAATGTCAACCCATTCGAGGCTGCTTGTTTGTGGCGACGGTCAATAGATGGTGTCTTGTTTTTGACGTCAATTTCGACATTAGAGGTTTCCTTTATTTTTAATACGCTGTAGTGGTCATATTTGGGAAATACCAAAAGTACACTCATGGACAAAACTTGAGGAAGTTGTACCGACCCGAGGACGCTAATTTGTGGCAACGGTCAATAGATGGTGTCTTGTTTTTGACGTCTATTTTGACATTAGAGGTTTCCTTCATTTTTATACGCTGTAGTGGTCATATTTGGGAAATACCAAAATACATTCATGGACAAAACTTAAGTA